AGTTCCGAGTTCCGAGTTCCGAGTTCCGAGTTCCGAGTTCCGAGTTCCGAGTTCCGAGTATGCGTGGGGGGACGGGACAAAAGTGTTTCGAGTATGCGTTGGGGGGAGGGGAGCAAAAGTAAAATAAAAGTAAAATGCTCGACTTATACTTTAGTATTAAGCTTTCAAACTTGTCGAAGTCATCTTGTACAGACACCAAACTGAAACACTACTCTTACACAATTCTACGAGTTCATTTGAAAACAACAATATGTCTTCAAGTCGGGCTTCGTTTCTTCGATTAGCCCTTTTTACATTCATTTTTTGTAACCAACGTTTTACAGTTCACCAGCGAGTGTTCGCCATATATTTACACTATCAAATCGGAAACTTCATTCGACCATAGCTCGTTTCAGAAATGCTCTAATGCTCCAATTTTTGGCTCAAAGTTTCATTATTGGTGGCTCTGCATGGTCATTAGGATTGTTTTTTGATTGGAACCGAAAAATATCCAGGCACCAGCAATAACCACGTGGTTGCAAACGAAGAATACAAAGCAGTTGAGATTAATCCCATAGTTTTCTTCTTTTTCTTACTTTGCCTGTACGTTAATCACCATTTTTCATATAATCTTGTCGCACGCGCCAAATAAAATCATTGTGTCTTACATTTTATGCCGGACAAAAAATGCAAATGATAAAACCGGCTAAAAATTCATAGATGAAATATCTATGTTGCTCTATTGCTAAAAAGCGATATATTCACAAGTGAAAATAACATGTAAAATCTTCTATTTCAACAAAACCAAAATGAGAACGTGCTCGCGCTTTCAAACAAAAAAACAAATGAAATTTGCACGCATACTAAACTGAAGAATGAATGTTTCAATATTTGGGACTACAAGTTATTGTAGTGGGCTATTAAATAAATTCTTCCGTACATCAATAATAGCGAGAACTGTCTTTGCGGATCTTTAATTTCGTGCAGAAGTTTTACCTCGTTTTGGGATTACTAGAAAGAACTCTTGATTTGATACTCTGGCTAAATTTCATATAAAGCTAAAGAACTTCACCTTGCCAAACATCAGTTTTCTTAGAAGTCTAATAGGAGCAACTTTGCACCGACAATTAAGGTAATTATAATGGGGTTTTAATATAGGGTTTTTATTTCTCATTACCCATTTGTTCTGATGGGCTTCCCGATTGAACTTGTTCAGTGGGCTAGACTTTAGAGTTCCACATGTTAGGGTTACTGGAGACCTTCAGGGGTATGTTTCATTTAGGACTATTGTTTTGTCTAAACCTTCTTTTGTTCTTAATTAAACAAAAGAAGGCGAGAAATTCGGGATAAAATCGCATGCGCTGTGGAATCGATTCTTAAASTATGAAAAGGCTTATTCAAACATACCCCTGAAGGTCTCCGGTAACCTTAAGGCGCAATTGTCTTGCGTGCAGCTTACAATCAAGACAAATATAACTACCGATCATCTTTGTTACTGGTTTAAAAAATATTCCGCCTTAAAACGGCCTTAAATGTTTGGGGGGRAAAATTAAGCATCTGCTAATAAATGAGTAATTATATATAATATATCAATAATATTTTTAAAGTGATATCATTCAATCATGCTCATGACTTGAAAATATTAAAACTTAACTTTAACACAGAATAGAATGGACACGTGGCTGAACGAGAAAGAATATTAATTCCTCACAGCTCAGGAGCTACCCTAGATAGAGGGAAGGATATTCATTTAATCCATATAAAAAAATAGTAGTCAACGTATAATGTTAAGCACAATACAAAGCAGTTGACATTAATCGCATACTTTTCTTTTTTTTCTTTCTTTGCCTGTTAATTACCATTTTTCATACAATCTTGTTTCACGCGCCAAATACAATCACTGTATCTTACATCTTATGCCGGACAAATAATGCAAATGACAAAACCGCCTAAAAATTCTTAGATTTAATATCTATGTTGCTCTATTGCTAAAAAGTGATATATTCACATGTGAAAATAACATGTAATATCTTCTATTTCAACAAAACCAAAATAACAACGTGTCCGCGGTTACAAGCAAAAAATTAAATTAAATTTGCACGCATATTAAACTTAACAATGAATGTTTCAATATTTGGAACTACAAGTTATTGTAGTGGGCTATTAAAAAAATTCTTCGATTCCGTACATCAATATTGGCGAGAACTTTCTTTCCGGATCTTTAATTTCGTGCAGAAATTTTACCTCGTTTTGGATTACTAGAAAGAACTCTTGATTTGACTGTCTAATTTTGCTCTTCAGTGGCGGATCCAGGGGGGCGAGGGGGTTCGAAGGGTTCCACGGAACCCACCTTGAAGGTTTGATCTTTTAGGTAATAGAAATATGTCTTATATAAATTTTGCTTAAAAGTATCCACAAGGATAATGTTGAACACGAAATGATATATATTTGCTGTTACAATGTTTAATTTACCTTTAAGTTCCGTTACTAGATAGTAAATTAGGTGATTAGAGCCAATTTTTTTGTCAGACATCGACTAAACAAAAGAGAAATATGCACAGTTTAAGAAACGGAACCCCCCTTTGAAAAATCTTGGATCCGCCACTGCTCTTTAACCAATCACCGCGTTACAACTCCCTTGATACTATGCTTATGTTGCATATAAAGCTGAAGATTTCCACCTTCAAACATCAGTCTTCTTAGAAGTCTAACAAGAGCAACTTCGCACCGACAATTTGCTTCAGTTTTTMCAGTGAGTTCAASCTCGTAGTTCAGTAGCACGATGAGATTCCTTCTGATATTGCTGGTCGTTCTTGCCATGGTTTCGTTCCCAGAGGTTTCTGGCTTTTGCACTTACCCCGGTTGCTTTGAGAAAAGAGCAGTGAACAAGGTAAGACGAAAACAAATGCAAATGGTCTGTAAAGTATAGATTTGAGGTAGCCCAAAAACCAATGGAAAGAGTTATATTTTCACTATGAGAATTCGCCCACAAAGCCCTAGGCACGAAGGGAATAAGATATGGGAAAAAATCGGCCCTCCGGCAACTGTTCCCAACTACCTCGTAATCAAGCGCCGACTAATAGTTCGGGGTGTGGGGAAACAGGAAAAGAGAATAGATAGTTCGGTGGAATCGAGGACCTACTCTCCCAAAACTCAGAAGTCTAGACTTCGAGGTTGGAGAGATGCAATAACTTGGCCACCGATTCGGGTAGCAATAACGCCGCTGCTGCGCTTGGGGTGTCATAAATAAACATTTACTGAACAAGTTTTCACGGTCCCCAGGCGATAAATGCTGAAGAAAATAGGAAGCCGGAATTAAATGAAGGCGTAGAGAAAAGGTGTGCTAGAGAAGTGAAAAAAAACCAAGCGAAGTAGCCCCGAAATACCCCCTCCAGGGACAGAGTAATGAAGGGTATTAGATAACCTCAACGAGGAGGCTTAGCAGGAAGAAGTGGGAGGGGACCCCAACCATGACAACACACGCGATCGCCGAATTTTGCCAAATAATGAGTATTTCGAGCGACCTCACTCGCCGCTGAACTATGGCCAAATAATTAACGAGTATTTCGAGCGACCTCACTCGCCGCTGAACTTTGGCCAAATACCTAACTAACATTTTGAGCGACTTCACTCGCCGCTGAACTTTGGCCAAATAATTAACGAGTATTTCGAGCGACCTCACACGCCGCTGAACTTTTCCAAATACCTAACTAACATTTTGAGCGACTTCACTCGCCGCTGAACTTTGGCCAAATAATAACGAGTATTCTGATCGACCTCACACGCCTCTGAACCTGGCCAAATACCTAACCAACAATTTGACCGACCTCACACGCCGCTGAACTTTTCAAATACCTAACTAACATTTTGAGCGACCTCACTCGCCGCTGAACTTTGGCCAAATAATTAACGAGTATTCTGAGCGACCTCACTCATCGCTGAATTTTGCCAGATACCTAACTAGCATTTTGAGCCACTTCACTCATCTTTGAACCTTTGCGAAATAATTAGCGAGTGTTTTGAGTGACATAATACATGGCTCAACTTTACCAGACACCTAACTAGTATTTTGAGCGACCAACTTCATACGTGGCTGAACTTTGCCAAATAATTAACGAGTATTGTGAGCGACTAAACAAGTTGCTGAACTTTGCCAAATCAATGACCAACGTTTAAGCGTCTACACACGGTACTGAATAATGGCAGAAGCAACAACATTTAAATGGAAACCGTGAGCGACTATAACCAATAAAGTAAAAACGCCATAGCTGCACGTTGAAGGAGGAACACAGACGAAAAGTATTACCTACTACTTCGGCGTGACCGCCAAAAGCGTCCTGAACGGCCTGTTGCGGAGGAACGGGATTCTGTGCTTCTTGGGCATGCCCATTTTGTAGTAGTTGATTCTGTGGTTGCGGTTTTGGCTGAGGTAGTTGATCGATTCAGAGGCGGCGGGTCGGCCTGAAGAACAGCTAGTACGGTAGCCTGAACTGGCTGAGCTGGTACTTGCGACATCGTTTTCTTCTTTCTTTGTACCTTTCATTAATGCGTCTTAGCTCCCACGGCGCAGCGATGAATGTTGTGAAGAATTAAAAGTTTTTTCTTTACTTCTCGTAGAACGCAAACGAGCTTAAATGTGCGAGTCCAGAGAGAACGGGAACGTTTATATAGGAAGCAGTGTGAAAGAATGCATGCCACGAGAATCCGAGACTCATGCAAATAAGCGTTGATGTGAAAAATCTCGTTTTTGGGGCTTTTCGTGTTCGAATTCCATAGTGAGAATAGAACGAATTTCGTACTAGTGGGAAACAACATGGCGAAATTGTAGCCCGGCACCATACTTCATCTAGTTTTAATAATGGTGATAATGTTAATGATGATGGTGATTGCAATAATATTATTTTGAGATAAGGTTCATGATATTGATAATTTTATGCAATTATTTCAATTTAAACATTATTAGTTATCATTAGTTTTTATTGATTCTCGTGGTAAAAATCGTTTGTTTCTCAGGCAGCAGTAGAAGCCAAGAGAGAGGCGACGATGGAGAGACTCCAAGAATTGAAGAATAATATGAAGTAATGAACACCATGAATATGATTCTATAAGTGTCAGTATGATGATAAAAGTTTAAACGTAAACTAGCTTCTTAATTGAGTTAAATACTTAAAATAACATGTAAAACGCGTGGTCATTTGACCACTGAGGTATCCTGGAGTAACGCTGTCACAATCAATAAAAGTTAATGGTAACTCTACGTAAAGCGTTTGTGACGTTCCCTTCTATTCATTTTTGTTTTTGTTTGCTTCGGATCTCACCGAACTGTGGCGGCACGTCAAACATTTGTCTCGCTACCACACCCTAATTCGTATACTGACACGCCTACTTTTGTCACGGTCTCGGATGTAGCATATTGCCAGTAAGGTATTCACTGTAATACATGTAACAAAAGTAGGCTTGACAGTGGACGAATTAGGGTGTGGTAGCGAGACAAATTTTTTGCTGACCTTTGCTGAAGAAGTCATCACTTGATTTTTAACTGTTCAATAACTTTCGACCAATCTCAAATCTTACATTTATCTCAAAAGTATGTGAGCGAGCCGTTGCTTCACAGTTGAATACCTATTTACAACACAATAACTTGATTGAGCCTTTCCAGTCGGCTTACAAACCTGGACACAGTACGGAATCAGCGTTGATCAAGGTGCAGAATGATATATTGCGTGCGATAGATGATGGTAGCTGTGTCATACTCCTACTGCTCGACCTTTCTGCCGCATTCGACACGGTTGACCATGATGTTCTCCTGACAAGACTCTCCTCTCGTTTTGGTATTGAAGGCACGGTTCATAACTGCTTTACATCTTATCTGACTGGTCGAAAGCAATGTGTTGCGATAAATACTGAGCCTTCATCTAGCCACGCCTTGACCAGCGGTGTTCCACAAGGGTCCGTACTTGGYCCTGTATTATATTTGCTCTATACTACCCCTCTGAGTGACATCATGAGGCATCATGGAGTGACATTTCACTGTTATGCAGATGACTTACAGATCTATTTATCCTTCAAGACCGATGTTGTTGGCGATCTAGAGCTTGCTCGGATGAAAGTGGAAGCATGTGTACGAGACATTGATATGTGGATGTTGAACAACAAATTAAAGCTTGATAAAACTGAAATCCTGATATTTCATGCTAAGCACCGTCCGGCTCCACCACTACATGCAGTGCAAGTGGCTAGTTCCTCTGTCACTCCTTCAGAGTGTGCAAGAAACATTGGCGTTATTTACGATAATACCTTATCTCTGGACAGTCACATAACTCAGATTTGTAAATCTGCTTTTTATTTTATTAGAAACATTTCACGCATTAGGAAATTTTTAAGTTTTGAAACCACTAAGATATTAATTCACGCTTTCATTACAAATAAGTTAGATAATTGTAATGCCTTACTTTTTGGTTTACCGAAGCATCTTTTG